ATTTCCAGCCCCCTGCTAAACGAGAGACGTTTCCGAGATGGATTGGTTTACAGCACCCCCCCGCCCCCCCAGATGTCAAGCTGTGCATTATGGGAAATCATTACTAAAAGCCTCACACCCCGCATAATGGACGTTAACACTCCGGCTCCTCTCCGTCCTTCCTACCTGAACTGCTTATGTCGGCCAAACAATGATTACGGCGTCACACCACATAGCCACGGTCAGAAAGAGGACATGTCCTGCGGCCCCCAAGCAAAAGAGGAACCCGAGGTGTGTCTGGTCAGCAGAGCTGCTAATAAACAACAGGATTTATAACAAAAATGGGTGCGGCCAGCGGGAGGCGCAGGCGAGGCGAAAGTGAGACACCAATGATGTGTCACCGCGTATGGCACCTGTGAGCACGCTGGTGACCTCACAGGGAATCCCTGCAAAGACATGAGCCACAGCATCATTAATATCTGATGGCCTTAAACGCCCGTGACGAGCTAATTAAAACAGAGCCGTTTGTCATAATGTCACAATAAACCTGCCCGTCGCCAAAGCCAGACACGAACCTCCCCTTCGTGGAACTGTGGGTCATACGGGGAATACTGTACGCTCATTGGGCCAGAAGCAGGAGGAGGCTGTGGGTTCAAGTCCCATGACGCTTACTGGTGTCATTTCCACTGAGAAAGGCGCTCAGCCGAGCCAGAAGAGGAGGGAGCTCTCCAGCACATGGTCTGTCGGCCCCCTGGCCTTCAGCTGGTGGGGCCACGCCCGGGCACCCCTCTGGGGCCCGTCTCACTGGCTCATCATCCCAGTCAGCAGCCAAAACAGGCGGCACCAAGCCAAACGCACAGCTCACTTACCAGCTCAAATTACCAGTGGCAAAGGTACGATGTTTCCAGTTCCGTCAGTGGTTAAAAAATCAGAGCCGCAACCCAAATCCCACGTGGCACAACATCTAAAACACACTGGATTAACATGATTATTTATGATAAATTATGCAAGGGGGTTAAAAAAAAAAATCACTCACCGCTCCATTTGCTGCCCCTCCCCCACTGCCACAGGAGGTTCGCCTGACCGATGAGGGAGATTATCATCGCATTTGTGGGAGATGATGAAGCTTGGATGGACGCCATTAATTCCCATCAAGCTCTGTCTGCTTAACATGTAAAGCGCGTCGACAGCAGGGGGCGCCAGCTGTTTCAGTTAACATAGTGACTTGCTGAAGAAACACCCTTTGTACTCTGGTGGGGGGGGGGGGGGATATACAGAGAGAGCTGTCAGCTGCAGCTGGGGGTGTCTGTCTAAGTCACTTGCAGAAGGAGATGATAGTAAGAACTGGGGCAGACAGCCTCACAGCATGCAAAAGGAGGGAGGCGCGCTCAGAGCCACACTCACATACGTGTAGAGGCAGACGGAGGGAGGCGCGCTCAGAGCCACACTCACAAACATGTAGAGGCAGACGGAGGGAGGCGTGTTCAGAGCCACACTCACATATGTGTAGAGACAAGATGTGATGATGTCTGAGAATAAGAGGGACACTGACAGCAGCCAGGAGCAAACAAATACAACAGGCAGAAACACACCCCCATAAATGGGGGAATGGGGGGGGGGGGGGGGGTTCAGGGTATATGACCTCAACTACTTAATGACAGGAAGTATTTATACACAGCCATGACCCCTCCCTCCTTAACCCCACCCCCCAACCCCTGTAACCCCACCCACTGACACCCCGCTACACCCTCTTCCCCAGACCAAGGGGCAAAGCGCCAGGGACCCCCCCCCCCACAAGGACGCCATGCAAGGGACTGAATATTCTGTCCCCCGGCTCCTGAATCCCAGCCAAATCTTTACGTCACTAGATTATCTATCAGACTGTAGTGCCCCCCCCCCCCCGCGAGATCATGGCGGCTAAACAGGGGCCCCTGTTAGGGTCTGCGGGGCCCAATGAGGTAATGAGTCACTGAGAGACGAAACAAAGTTAATGAGCAAAATACGAGCCGATGCGTGAGGGGCCGATGGTGCATGTTTGTGGCGAGGGGGGGCACTTTGACCCTGACAGGGAGTCTGTCTGTCCCTCTGTCTCCTCCTATGCCCCCCCCCGGTCTGCCAGTCAGCCCATATGGTGACAGCCCCACTTTCTGCAGTGCCAGACAGTGCCTATTGCCAGTGGCAGCGGGGAGCCGGGGAAGCTCAGCTTACAGCTCACCCCCACCCCCAGGCGGGTACACCCCTCACCTCTCGTTCACCTCCACACACTCCCCAGGAAATACCTGGACCAGTGACACTAAACTGCTCAGAGGGGAAAATAAATCTGGGAAAACCTCAGGAGCGTGAGAGATCTCCATGGCGACTCCAGCCCTGCGGTGCACAGCCAAACCACAGCGACCAACAACAGCCGGCAAACAGTGGAGTACGGCGCCCTCTAGTGGGTAAGACGAGGGCTGCTAAGCCAAGGGCTTCTCATGAGGCCTTTGATATGTGTAAGAATAACACAAGATATGTGGGATCCATGGAAAAGTGTAAGAATAGCACAAGAACGATGAGAGAGAGCGTCCCGACAAAGTAAAGAAAAAATGTGAGTGGGAATGAGGTTGAGAGAGCTCTGAGATCACAGACGGGCCATTGTAGAATCACCTAGAAGTGCCAGGCGGACTGTGCAGCGTCTCTACAGGTGCGTCGCATCCTTCTGCTCTCGTCCAGATCCGGGCTCTCGCTTTCCTCACAGATCCGGGCTCTCGCTTTCCTCACAGCGCCACTTCACTCCTGGGCTCTCGGTGCCGTTTTATGGAATTCATACCAATAAGGGCGGTTCTGTGAGACTCACTTTGTGTTCATGAACACCAACAGCAGCTCAATAACCTGACAACCTCCTCCCCCATGACAAGGCTGTCCCCACTTCTTCCAGTACTCCCATTCTCAGACTGTATAGGACACGGGTAATTGGGGGGGGGCAGCCTGAGACCAATCATCGGAAGATGGATGAAAATTCCAGATCAGGATCGCCGTGGCCAAAACATCGATAGGTTGGGGGGGGAGAACTGTGCGTATACATATGCAGGGGTATGTGAAATGTCATGCTGGATAACAGATGATAGCTGCAGATCAAACTCCGATGTCGCAGTAGGCGGTGAAGGAGCTGCCTGTCTCACTGCTTACCTTTTGTTCAGAACCAACAGAGGGCCGTCACACTATTTAAGGAAGTTTAGAAGGAGGAAGGCTAAAAATAGGCCAGAACGGCCAAAGGCCCAACCCTGGCATCCTGAAAATGCTCTACGTATGATCCAAGACTTCAAAATGCAGCATCACAGCAGAATGCGAAATCTATGGGGTCTGAGGTGTTCAAGTTGCCATGGTCTGACAGCCGGCCACAATACAAGCAGCTGCTTCATACGGCACATTCAGCCTGTCACTCTGACCTTATTGATCACAGCGGAAGTAAGCCTAACTACCTTCTTAACACAATAGCTTATCTAACAGACAAGGCTGAACTTCTGCTTCCAAATAATATTGGGTAATGAACATTTTATGGGCTTCAAACATGTTCAAATGGGTCACAAATAACACAACGTGCACACACCCTTATATTTAAATTAATTAAATGAACGGGAGTTAAAAAACAATAACTAAAACCAAACCAACCATTTGTCCATTGTCTCCTTAAAGAACCCCTGGGAGTCCTGGCAAGACCTACCCCTTTGGATCACCACGCCCCCTGCTGGCTAATAGGGGACAGCTGCCATTCAGAGGAACCTCAGGTGCCACTTCCTCAACATGCAGCGCATGAAAGGAGAAGAAGCCATAAAGAAGGTGAGTCTAGGGGGCATTTAGACAGGAACCTGCTTTAGGACAAAGGATGAGATTTGAAAAAAGCTACAGTGTAAATGTAGTAAAGTGACTTGATTGTTATTATAGGAAAACAGACAAAACGAGGCACCAGTGAGCCATGAACCTCTGATCTGCTGCTGATCAACCCGCCCCCCCGGGCAGAGGGGGCTGCGTTTTAAATTCGCTTATCCTTGCGCTTGCCTGTCTGCTGCCCCTCCAAAGTCGGAACGTGGCATTACCTACTGTGCCAGCAGGTCAAGCTGCATCCTGAGCTGACTATTGTACTCCATCCAAATCCCCGTCAAGATAAGCATTCGCAGCCAGCTCACTCCCGCTATCAGCAACTGCATGGCAACACAAACACAAGGAAGTAATCACAGCCACGGACACAGCCATGGACACAGCCACGGCTTGTCCAGCGTCACCCGCCTGTGCCACTGGACGCTGATGCACCCCCAACATTTGGTTAGGACGATCTGACCAGGACAGATTAGATCCCACTCAGTGATGGATTAGTTAAAGTCCAGGGGCAACATTCCCTTCATTCCAAAAGGAGCCGGAACAGCCAAAGATAAACAGCTACGCACGAAAGACACACTGATGTAAAGGAGGCATACCGACCCTACCTCTCCCCCCCCCCTTCCCCAATGACGCGATTACCCTGAGGTTTCAAGAACTTGCATGCCATCTGTAGAATCACAGAAACAGACACATCCAGAAAAATGGCGGCAACGGAGGTCAGTCCAGGAGACCACCCCTTTGCCCCCCAGTCCAGGCGCCCCGAGACGTTCAGTGCTGTTCAGATAACATCAGCTGAAGGAAGAATGGCATTCATAGTAACTCAAAATATAAACATTCAGAGCAAAGACAGGGAGGTCAGAAATAACTTTGGCGGCATTTGAGGGCCATTTTTGGGAAACGCATCTGTAGCTCATATGCAAGAAAATGTTTTTTGGAATGAAGCTCCTTAGACCGTTTAGCTCTGGTACCGTGACAGCTTCACAACCAGATACCTGCTATTACTCAGCTGGATTCAACTGCAGATCCGCACCCCCCAACTCCCCCGCCCCACCCACCCCAAACAGGCTTGGGCCCCAGGTCGCACGGTGGTGATGTTCATCCCAGGGTTACCGTTTCAGTTTGGCAGCTTACAGACACGCCCATCTCTAACACACATACACCCGTCGTTATCAAATCAGTTTGAACTTTATTGATCATCAAAAAAATTTTTTTAAAAATCACACCATCGGCCTTCAGACAGCTCCTGCTCATCAGCATTGACCAAACCCCGTCAGGGATTTAAGGTCTCTGTGTTACAGGTTCGTTCAAAGTCTTTCTGAAAACTTCCTTCCCCCGAGTAAAAACAAGCCTTGTCTCAGTCTTGACAGGACAGAAAGAGACAGTCTGATCAGCGTGACGGTTAGGAGGAAGATTCCCATTTTCTTTGAGTCTTCGCTCTGCCAGTCGCCACGGCAAACAGATTAAAGGCTGCTGAGAGACTCATATCCACTCTTCCTCGAGTTATAAAGAGACTGGTTACAGAGGCAAACATTTCACAGGCATTTAAAGAGGAACACAAAAGGGAAAAAAATCTGTCATTATTCATTTATGATTAATACCTCTATTGTTACTCTTTTGCATAACACACACTGGTTTAAAAACGGAAAATTTGTTTTTAGCTCAGTCGTCATGAGAACGAGCTTTTCGTTTTACTCTGCTTTTAGCCAAAAGATTGTGTATTCCTCCAACGCTCAGAAAAGAACCTGAAGTCTTTCCTGGGCCTCGGTTCTGAAAGGATTGGGCAGGACGTGGACATTTCTGTCCATTTAGAAATTCAGCTGCTCGGCGCCGCCCCCGCCACACCCGGGCAGGTCTGAGGACGTTCTGATTAAAACCTACCAAAAAGTCTCTTCCTCTAGAAGTTTCTCAGTCAGAACAGGTCCAGGTCATCACCAGTGGCCTCGTTTTGCTGGATGTATCGCAGGATGTCCATCTGATCCATGGTCTGGATTTTGGCCTCTGGGGCAGATGCGGGACCGGCCACCGGGGCGGCACTATTCTGGGACAGGGATGTGGGCTTTTTGGGCAGTGCTGGCTTGGGTTTGGGGGTGGGTTTAGGGCCGAGTGCTGGTTTCTCCCCTTTGCTTACTGTCAGAAGCTTGTCCAAGGTATCCTCCACCCTGAAGAAGAAAGGAAGACTGTTACCACCTAAACCCAATCTCACATAGGAGAATGTCAGGTCTCTCACAGATGTAAATACCCAGGAGGAGCCTCCCAGAACTGGAGAACCAGCTTATCCTTAATTGCGTGGTAAACATGATTAGCTAGCTATCGCTCATCACCTCCCGTTACAGACTGGACTGTCCTCCTTTTTAAGCCTGAATTTGGTTTGAGTACAATGGCCACCTACTCTTTCTGCATCGGGAAAGGCCAGAGCTAGAGCGCCCTCTGGATTTTGTTCCAGGTTTCTTTTCCAGGAACTGTTAATGAGCAAACAGTCTTTTTCCAGGAGAAAGGCCAGACAGACCAATGTTTCCCCTGGATGCTAACAGCTACTGCGCTCTATCCATACATACGGCGTCGCAGAAGCACAATGCCGTCTAACACAGAGGGTGTGTGTGTGTGTGTGTGTGTGTGTGTGTGTGTGTGTGTGTGTGTGTGTGTGTGTGTGTGTGTGTGTAACACTAACACTCAGCCACCACCTTTTCCTCCAACTCAAGAGACGGAAACTGCATGTTTCTGTAACATTTATATAAAAAATGAGCTTGTTTGCAGGCATGAGAACAAGGTGAGAAGGGGGGGGGGTGTTAGATCTACAGCAGAATCCAACAAAAATTAAAATAATAAAAAATATAACTGGCTGGGGGAGCACAATCTTTGTACCCCCCATGCCTGTGAGGGACACAGAGACACCAGTAGCACTTGGGGGAGGGCAGCTATTAGCCGGGACAGCCTGTCGGTCTGGAGGGGTTGTATGATTTTGAAGGGGGGGGGGGGTCATATTTCAATGCCTCCCCCCATAAGAGGCTATCGGTAACATAGGGGATATGAGAACAGCTAGTGGCACCGCAGAATCAGACTGGGCCAAAACCAGTGAGTTATTTCCCCACAGCTCAGACAGGGCCAAAGACTGGGGTCAGTCAGTCCTGGGGCCTGGGGGGGTTAGGGTGCTGGGGACAGTACAGCCTGGTCAGGGTTGGGCTGCTTGGGGGGGTGCCCACACTGCACAGAGCTTTCTGGGGGAGGGTCGTATGGTGAGGTCACAGGGGCCTGAGAGGCCACGGGAGAGCTGTCGGCTCCCAGGGAACATACGCAATAGGCTGACATCGCGGACGTGGCCGCTAGCCTGATTCAGGGGGCTCTGTGGACAAGGGGGGGGCTGCCAGGAGCAGCAGTGGCTGGATTCAAGCCAAGGCTGCACCCCCCCCAAACTTTCACCCAGTCATCACTCTTCACACACACACACACACACACACACA